ATTGATTGAACTGATTCAGGGATTCGGCTCTCAAGATATCAACTCCTGTAAGCAAATAACAAGTTAAAGCACTTTTATTCACTGCCCTTTTGTCTCAGAATGATGATTTCCAGACAAAAAAAATACATAAATCTCTCGTCTCAGGGGGATATGAGGGTGGAAAGCATGCTAATTCGAAAATACTACAGGTTTCCTACTAATACAAGCTTAATGCTAAATCCTGAAGTATCCCTTTAACATTCATATAACCAAGATTTTTTTTTTTTGTTAATCGGATGTTTTGAACATTCAGAAATAATCTTTTAATAACTTAATGGGAACGTTAACGAAATGCTCCTAGAATATATTTTTGTTGCGTGAGAGATTTTTATTTTGTTGAAAAACTTTTGAATGGTCTGTTGGCAATAATAAGTCATTCATTGAGGACAGAGTGACCGCAAACCTTTAATTGACCATTTTTGGAGGGAAAATCCAAATAAAATGAACTTATGGATCGTCTTTGCTTAGAAGTGAATGGTGTGATTGGACCTAATGTAGCAGGTTTCTGCACTTCTCTTCAGTTAGTTGGACACACAGATTCTGCAAATAAGCTTTGTCAGTAAAATGCTGGTCAAGAGCCCCTTTCTATCATCATTTTGTGCTGGAAATATTGAGCTCTTCTGTCGGGAACGGTCCTTGTTGAGAATGAGTTTATCTCCATCTTGAACACAGATGTTGTGGTCTTTACGCGTGGAGAGAGTGGCTGGGCCACGGCTCAGTTACGGTCTGGGTTCTGTGTGAGCTGTTGCGTCGGGGTAACATGAGCCAGACGTGTGGACCAGAGCATGAGCCAGACGACCTCACGTCACCTTTTTATTTTAAAAATTTGACAGACAGACATGAACTTTTGCATGCCATCAATGCAACATTTTATTTTACAGAGAAGGTTTCTAATTTTTTACTGCATACAAAAATCTGATTGGCTGTTTGGAAACATGTGATTAGTGTTGGAGTGAGCAGGTGAGTGGTTAATATGGGGAAATCACTTGGAAACTCTATTCTCTCCTACTAGCCAACCAAGTGCATGCATGACTAGTTTATGATTTTAAAGGAGTAGTTCGCTTCAGAATTAAAATTTCCTGATTTCCTGACATTTGAAAACGCCGTTTAGACATGGTGGACTATCAAAACGGAGGTATTTGAAAACAATGACGTAAGTTTAGTCATGTGACACATATCGTACCAATAGATATTCATGTTTAAATACAGTAAAAAAAAAAATTTCTTTTATCAAATCAACATAGATAAGTTATGTGGTTCAGATAACATAATATTTTGGGTTTTGTTGATTAAACCAATATCCTTCATTGAATCAACTCAATTTTTTTGAAGGTTACGTCTTTTTTTTAAAGTTATGCCTGTTATTAGGTATTCACATTCACACAGTTGCTAAAATATGTTAGTTCACACACTCTTTATATCACAGTCCTGCAAAGATGACAGAAAGCTCACACACATTCGCTGTCCTGCGGCAAAACATGTTGGGTTTGGTTATTGAGAGCGACCTGGATATGAAAAGATTCTCCTAGAATAATTGTGCGATAACTTTATTATTTATTTCTCCGTCTGCATCATCTCAGTAAAGGGGAATTTAGCGTTTTCCAAAAGTTTCTCATCCACACAGAAAAGGGCAGTGTGGACGGAGAGCGTTTTAAAATGAAAACGGCGTTTCCGGAGTAATGTTTCCGTCAGTACTCACAGTTGAAGTCGGGCTCGATGTTGTCTCCTGCCATCAGGCTGTTGATCGTGATTTGGAAGATGAGATGCAGAAGCAGGAACGTCACACTGGTGAAACACAGCGATCTCAGCAAACGCCCTGTGTGTCCTGAGGAAGAAGAGGGTTTGATTTTAATACCGAGTAAAAACATTGACATTAGGACATGCAACTTAAATAAAGCCTGAGACTAATTGCAAGTGCTTATGTTCTTACGACACAGTCCTCTCATTTTACTCTTTAAGAAAAAGAGATTGGTCAACTTGGTCAACCCTTGATAGAGAAACAAGCTCTTAAAACTCTGAAAATCCAGCTTTAATGTTGTTTCTGTGTGTATGTGGTGTTTTTAATCCGCTTTAACACACACCGTGTGTGAGTTGATAAGGGGACAGCATTGCTGAGTATTTCCTCCTTAAAACTGCAGTGAACCAAAGACAGTCTCAGCTGGTGTTTCTGACGTCACAAACCACCTTGTAACCAATCAGATCAAAGAGTGATCGTCAACCAGTGGAGTGAGTGAGTGGGGGCGGGGCTCATTTGCATATTCATAGAACCATGCATACTAAATGAGGCAAGGGTGTCGAGTTACATTCAAGCTGTTTTAAGGCATAAAGGCATAACATTTCAAGGACAAAATGCTTAAATATGTAATTTTGGTGATCAAAGATGAGCTTTAAGGGATAAAATGATTGATGATCTCTCTCTCTCTCTCTCTCTCTCTCTCACTCACTCAATCTCTCTCTCTCTCCATTCATTTAGCACTGATGTTTTTGGCAGTGTTTGGACTGTACATCACTGTGAGTTCAGAGACGTGGCCGTTTTCAGAAAGATCCAAATGAAACAATGCTGTGAGTAATGCATGCATACGGTCGAAAAGATAGTTGATTTATGGATAACGCCACATAAACGTGTTTTATGATAGAAGAGAAGGATTTGGTCCGACATCAAAGCTTCTTTATACAGTGGGACGGACGCTGGGAATGACACCGATAGCATCGAACATGAGCTTAAGGATGTTAAAAAACACCCACAACCATCCGGCCCAAATGAGGATATGACGTCATATCCAAACCAATAAGTGCTTAATCTAATCGGCAAATCTGGACAGATGATATCATGAATTAAAGGATAAAAAAACAGTGGGATAAAATTTCCCCCTACTTTAAAGGTTGCATGGATTTAGTTCACGTCTAAAAGCTTTTTAATAAAGATTTCAGTCTCTTTTGATGAAACGCAGAGCTTATTAATTCACAAGAGCACATTTACAGTCATATTGAAACGATCAGAGGAACGGAGAGCGGGTCGGTGTCAGCCCTCGACTCCTGAAGCCTCGTCAGGGAATTAAATACACTTTCACAAAGAATTAGAAAAATAAATACAGACAGCAGAATACTGTATATAAGGACCTGGTACTGTCAATGGAGATAAACGACACAACTATAGGGGTTTCAAGCTGATGTTTCTGTATACGGAAGAAAAATAGAGGAACAAGACTTCTTTAAAAAAAACACTGAACACTTTAGTTCACATGTACAATACAAATACAGCTGTTCATTTTAATAATGTAGTGAATGTTGAAATTAACATTAACTTAGATTAATAACTGCTGCACTTGTTGTTTTAACCCATTTTTGGGTCAAATATGGACAAACCCAGTTTTAAATTGCATTTTTAATCCAACGTTTGAGTTTGTCCACATTTGACCCAAAAATGAGTTAAAACAACCCAGCATTTTTTGATGTCTCTAAATGGTGCACCTTATCAAATATCACATAAAAAGTACAGTCAATATGATATATAGTTGTAGAATCATTTTCTAGAAGAATTATATTTTGATTTTGCGTTATACATATCTTTAAATATTTTTCTGGGCGTTTGTTTGGAAATATTTAAATCATGATTACAAATTATGAATGGAAGCATGATATAAAACAAACACTCTACAAAACGCTGGGTTGTTTTAACCCAATTTTGGGTCAAATATGGACAAACTCCAACATTGGGTTAAAAATGTAACCCAACGGCTGGGTTTGTCCATATTTGACCCAAAATTGGGTTAAAACATTTTGTATAATCATATTAAATAACTAACAACTAATGTTAACTTATATTGTGAAGTGTTACAAAAACATTAAATCTTACCGACTACACTCTAAACAAAGCTGGGTTGTTTTAACCCAGATTTGGGTCAAATATGGACAAACTCAAATGCTGGGTTAAAACTGTAATTTAAAATTTTAACCCAACTTCAACTTTCACTTTCAACAGTACATTTTTTAATAACTTTTTTTAACCCAACATTTGGGTTTGTCCATATTTGACCCAAATTTGAGTGTAGTTTTTAAAATGGCACTAAAATACAGTATTTTCCTTTCAGGGAAATGATCCAGAAACGACTTTTTTTTATTTGCAAACTATTAAGTTATCGGCTATTTTAATAAAACATTTGAAGGAAATCAGTTGTGCTCACCAAACATTTTAATGGAGATTTAAAATGAATAAATTAATTTCTGTACCAATCAGGTTTCAGCTCGCCCGCTTTAACGGCTTTAACTGTGTGTGAAGGAAGAAGAAAACACACATTTTTGTCCATCAGTGTGTGGATCAACACCTGAGGATCGTCGCCAGGCGAGTCTGCCCAGATTTGACGATGTTTCCGATGGTTTGCTGTGATGAAAATGTTTTACAGGTCTGCTGGTGTTCAGGCGATTAGTGAGATTAAAGACGCTCCTGGTCGAAGTCGAGATCGAGAACATCATTGGTCCGTTCAGTGGATGTGGTGTGTGCGGATCGGCACTGGAGGAGTGTGTAAAGCAGAAAGCCGATCCTGGCAGAGGAAGAGCAAATATGATCCAGATGTGTTTGTTATTCAGAGGACTCGAGGTCTCTGCTGACACAGTTTCTCATTATTCTTCCTCTGATGAGCGTCCGTCCGTCCGTCTGCCGACCGAGTCTAAAGCTGGAGATGTGCGGCGGAGAGAACGAGTCCATGTCCGTGTGTGTGAGAGCTGTTATTTGCAGTGCGTACAGTACAGATTTAGGGCCGGGAGTGCTATAGTTTATATGGTGTTTTTGGAAGAAGACTCTTCTGCGCACCATTTAAGGCTTTGCTCATTTAATCAAAAAACTCTAAATTTTTAAAAATATTTTCCACTGTAAATCATCAGTTTTCTATGTGATTATATAGTAAAGTGTAATTTATTCCTGTGATTTTCAGCATCATTACTCCAGTCTTCAGTGTCACATGATCCTTCACAAATCACTCTAATATGAGGATCTGATGATCAAGAAACACTAATGATTATTATCAGTGTTGGAAATTTGATGAATAGAAAGTTCAAAAGAACAGCATAATTAGTAACTTTGTCTTTAATGTCACTTTTGATTAATTGAATGCATCCTTCAAAAACAACATCAAACGATACACACATCGCTGCAATAAAACCTGCTTTATTTCACATCCGGAGCCTTTCAAGACCCAAACGTTAGAAAGATGTTTATTGTTCTCAGATACTTTGGTTAAGCGTCTGGTTTCTAAGTTTACAACATGTCAGGAAAGTGAATCATCATAACCTCTGATTCATGTTTAAAACTCGAGGAAATCTACTCGACCTTTTCTCACTGGCATTCACAGTCAGATCGCAACCCGTACTACAGTAGATCAAGCCAGACTGAACGCGCGGATACACACACACAACACACATAAAACGGGGAGGTGTGTGTGAGGTGGATCCACACACAGTCATTTCCTAAAGTGTGAGTGTCATTAATTTGACTAAATCCACCAACATTTCCTTCTTTAAACACACTGGATATATCGTCAGTCCTTCAGGGTTATTTATAATCCGGTCTGGTGCCACGAACTTATCAACACTCTTGTTTTACAACAAGGTGGAAAGTTTGCAAAAATGTGCGACTAACATGAAAACACAGCAGAAGCGCAGGTAACCTCGGTTCAGTGTGATATATTATCCACTGCAGATGTTCTTCCTTAGTCTCCAATCACTCATTCATGAACACTACTTTATTTTCCGGCCTTTCATTTTGTATACAGATGTTTTAGTCGATCGAGGAGTCGTAATCACTGTGATTTGTGAAATAAAAGCAGAGAATCTCAAACTCAAACTTCACCGAGCCAAAATCAAAGTCCTGACATTATTCACTTGTGCTGATCCGAACCCAGATGACTTTCTTTATTTGGTGGAACACAAAATATGACGTTTTGAAGTTCAAGCCGCTTATCCATACACAATACCATGATCCAAGATCCAAAAAAAAAAACATCCTAAAGCACCAAAAGTATCATCTATACAGTCTTCCGAAGCTCAAACAGACTGAAATCCAAGACATATTTTCATGCATGAATTAATGCAAAACCCCATTTGAGAACTGATGTCACTGACCATAAACCACTGGTTCTGGCAATTGCAAAAAGCAAATAATCATAAATGTTTGTTGATCATCAGATCCTCATATTAGAGTGATTTCTGAAGGATCATGTGACCCTGAAGACTGGAGTAATGATGATAAAAATCACAGGAATAAATTACACTTTACTATATATTCACATAGAAAACAGATGATTTACATTAGAATAATATTTCACATTATTCTGGACAAATGTGGGCAAAATAGTTTTAAATTTATTTTTAAAAAATACTTCCCTTGATCTGAGCGGTACAAGACTTGGCTACTTTTCCTAAGTTTGCCTCTTGAACACACAATTTTTTTAATCAATTACACAATGTTAAGTGGAAAAAAACTCCTAAATCTTGTGTTTGGGTCAAAAATGGGCACACATAGAAATGAAATGAATGGGGAAAACTGTAATTTAGAGTCTAAAATAAGCCAAAATAAGACACCAGGTGACGGCAAAGTCACTTCATCTATAGGTTTTAGCTCTAAGAACTTATTGGAATGACATTTTAATGTAGTTAATAAAAATAAAACATAAAAATAAGCATCATTTACATAGAAAATATGGTACTTTTTAAAGTAAATAAATTCAAAAATACCCCCAAAATAAAAAAACAAAAACAAAAAAAACACCATAAATGGATACACTGAAAAAAATGAATATGCTTTATCTAATCAATAAAATTGTGGCAACA